GTTAAATATATATAAAATGAGATTTAATATAAGTAATTGGCTTATGGATCTGCCATCTGCAAACTGAAGACCCAGGAAAGTTGACAATGTAAATTCCACTCCATGTATGGAGGCTTGAGAACCAGGAGTGCAGACTGTGTAAGTCCCAGTCCAAAAGCAGAAACAGGCAGAGGGGAAATTCTCGTTCCTCTGCTTTTTTGTTCTTTCAGGCCCTCAATGGCTTGGATGATGCTCGTGCACGATAGGGAGAGCATTTTACTTTGCTCAGTTTACCAGTTCAGTATCATCCAGAACCTCCCTACAGACATATCCAGGAATAATGCTTAGCCAAATATGTGGCCACCCCATGTCTTGGAAAAGTTGACACATAAAATTAACCATTACAAATCTACGCCTGGTCAACTTGGCACCTATACATATTTACATAAACCATACTTAATCTTCAAATGAAGGTAATAACAAGGTCAGAATTCTCCCTAACATGACACAGGTATCCCATGTACAACTGAGAAACACATCGATCTCTTCCCTAGAAAAGGAGATAAAGTCCTTGAATGTTGTTTACTCCTCTCCTTGATATCCCATAACTTAAATACTATGTAAAATCAACAGTACTTAAATCCTGACATAAACATCTTATGTTACATGATGAGGGAATAAGAGAGGAAAGAAAGCAAAGATAATTCTCGCGCGCGCGCACACACACGCACACACACACAATGTATTGTTAGCAAAATGAGAAAATACAGTTATAGTCCTTATTTCTATAACTGATCATGTGCTTGTAGCTAGTATTTATAACTGTATTCTTACCTAACCATTCTATATTTCCTTTGCCTTCAGCAAACAACTTACCTGCTTATGTTTTTTTTAATCTGTTGTGGTGATTCAAACCTTCATCCCTGAAGGGTCATTCCTTATTATAGCCCTGCTTGAATTAGAACGTTGTAGTTTTCCATTGATCTTAATCACAGGGTAATATAATTTGGATGTTTGCCTAAATCTCTGTTGAAATGTAGTCCCCTATCTTGGAGGTGGGGCTTGGTGGGAGGTGTTTGCATCACAGGAGTGGATCCTTCATGAATGGCTTGGGCCATCCCTTTGTTGATAAGTGAGCTCTCGCTTTGGGTTCATTTGAGATCTGGTTGTTTGAAAGTGTGTGGCATCTCCACCTCCACTCTCTCTCTTTCTCCTGTTCTGCCATGTGAGCCGCTTGCTGCTACTTTGCCTTCTACCATGAGTAAAAGCTCCTTGAGGCCTCTCCAGAAGCAGAGCAGATGCTGGTGCCACATTTCCTCTAAAGCTTGCAGAACTATGAGCCAGCTAAACCTTGTTTTTTTTTTTTTTTTTTTAATGAATTACCCAATTTCAAGTATTCCTTTATAGCATTGCAAGAATGGCTTAACACACAGGGTAGGGTATGGTAATATCAAAAGATGCCATAAGGGATCTCCTGTATTCTAGACATATTTTTCCTAGCCTCCTGTGTGAGGTAGCAGTTCAGTTCTCCTGTACAAAAGTAGTCATCCCAACCAGCACAGTAACTCTTTTTTGACTGATGATTTAGAGGCATAAGGACCCAAAGTGGCCAAGTGGCAGTATTAATGTTTATTTCTATGGAATCAAGTGTTGTGTTTCCTAAGAAGTATTCTTTCCTCTGGAATTAAGACATCTAAGTCAGCAAAGAATAAGGTCACAGGAACAGGAAAAAAAATTTCCTAATGAATTACTAGGGGAAATTGTGAGTGCCACTCCCATTTCCACCCCTTGATTCTTGGACCCATAAATGTTGCCTGTCAGAGAAAGAGCACCATATATTGGTTGCTGACTCAGAGCATATACAGCTTTCTGGAGAATCCTTCTCTCAGCCTTGCAAGGTATTACTACGTAGCTGGCACTGTAACTGAATCACCAAAAGCCCATTCCACTGTTTTATGAAATAAGTTGCTTGACAATTACAGGGAACATGATAAGACCAGTGAGCATAGGTCCATTGCTGTCCTTCATGTGCTGTGATAGGAGTTGCTTCGTTAGAAGCAATACTTTGTGAAATACCACGATGGTAGAGAAAGCATTCTGTAAGTTTCCTGATAGGAGTTTTGGCAGAAGCATTATTTGCAAGGAGGGCAAATCTGTAGCCAGAATAAGTGTCTGTTCCAATAAAAGCAAAATGCTTCCCTTTCCCTGATGGAAGCTCTATCAACCTGCCTCCAGATAGCTGTCTGATTACCTAGGAGGATGTTGTCATATTAGGAACTCAGTGTTGGTTTTTGCTACTGGCATATTGAGTACTCAGCTGTGGTCATAGCCAGGTTGGCCTTGGTGGATGGAAGTCCATTTTGCTGAGCCCATGCATAATCTCCATGCTAGCCACCAGGGCCACTTTATCTATGAATCCATTGGGTGATGACACGAGTGGCTAGGGAAGAAAGCCTATTGTTATCCACAGAAGTGGTCATCTTATCCATGCGATTATTAAAATACTCTTTTGCTGATGTCACCTTTGGGTGAACATTTACACTGCATGCAAATATCTTCACTTATTTGCCATTCAGAGAGGTCTGTCCACATCCTTTTTCCACAAATTTTTTTGTCACCAATTTTCCAATCATGTTCCTTCCAAGTTTCTGGCCATCTAGACAAACCATTGGCCACAGCCCATGAATCTGTACATAATTGCACATATGGCCATTTCTTCTTCCAAACAGAATGAACAATGAGGTACACTGCTTGAAGTTTTACCCACTGGGAAGATTTCCTTTCACTACTGTACTTCAGGGAGGTCCCAGGAAGGGTCAGCCACTTTTGGGTGGTGCCTGCATATCATGCAGAACCATCTGCAAATGAAACCAGAGTCTTCTCTTCTTCTGTCAGGTGGTCTAGGGAACTTCTCATGAAGCCGTAGGTGCAGACTGGGAGAGAGAAGGCAGTGTGGCACCAGTGGGGATTATGGGCATTTGGACCTCTTCTTCATGTAACTTAGTTGCACCTTCAGGGCCTGCTTGAGCCTGATCATGTATATATCGCTTTTATTTGATGATAGACTGCCACTGTGCACACCCAACTTTATGGGTTGGTGGGTCAGATAACACCCAGTTCATGATGGGCTGAAATCACATAGTAATTTGGTGGCCCATGGTTAAACACTCAGTTTCTACTAAGGCCCAGCAGCAGACTAAGAGCTGTTTCTGAAAAAGTAGAATAGTTACCGGC